CAGAAGCCCCCATGTGACCCCTGAGAGCACAACATCTTCCCACAAAGACATCCGCTACCCTGACTTTTATAGGAATCACTTCTGCTTTCTGGTTTTACCCTCTAAATATATATATCACAATACAATGCCATTTTGTTGGGTCTGTTTTTAAATTTCATCTAAATGAAATCAGTCTTTTATATGCCTGGCTTCTTTCACTCAACGTTATCTTTTTTTATGATTTATCCATGTTGCCTGTCATGTGCGTTGCTGACCTTTTCTCCCTCTCTGTGGGTGTGTCTCTTCGCTCTTCAAGGCATCCTTTTTTAATTTTTTTTGCGGTACGCGGGCCTCTCACTGTTGTGGCCTCTCCCGTTGCGGAGCACAGGCTCCGGACGCGCAGGCTCAGTGGCCATGGCTCATTGTAGTTTTGATTTGCATTTCTCTAATAATTAGTGATGCTGAGCATTTTTTCACGTGCCTACTGGCCATCTGTAGGTCTTCTTTGGAGAAATGTCTATTAAGGGCTTCTGCCCATTTTTTGATCAGGTTCTTTATTTTTTTGTTGTTGAGTTGTATGAGCTGTTTGTATATTTTGGAGATTAAGCTCTTGTCGGACCAAGACCATTTAAAATTCAAGTTCAGAGTTTGAGGTTTCCTGGGACACCCAAAAGACAGGAAGCTGAGTGAAGTCCATGTGGCTTGGTTTCTTTGCAATTCAGTCTTCTCCCAAAGTGCAGCTCTTTGGGGTCCTAGCCTAAGGTAAAAATTTACATATTAAAATAAATAAAAAATTGATAAAAAATAAAATAAAAAAATTTTATTTTTATAAATAAAATAAAAATATAAATATAAAAAATAAAAAAATAAAAAAAATGATAAAAAATTACATATATACCAGATTTCTCACCCTTGGAGGGCCCCGCACTCCTAGCTCATCCCGTTAGTTGCTTCCTCTGAATCAGTAAATGCTCCCAAGGACAAAGGGACCTTGCCTACTCGGTTCATCTTTCTGGGGTTTTACTTGCAGACCTCAGCCGGGTAATCCTTCCCACTCTTGTTAGCTCTTCACTGCTTTTTTTAAAAATAAACTTTATGTTAGGGAATAATTTTAGATTTACAGAAAAGTTGCAAAATTAGTACAGAAAGTCTCTGAATACCCTTCACTCTGTCTGTTTCCCCTAATGTTAACATCTTACATAACCATGTACATTGGTCACGTCTAAGAAATTAACATTGGTATATTACTATTAACTAAAATCCAGACTTTCTTAGTATTTCGCTAGTTTTCCTAATATCCTTTTTCTGTTCTGGGATCCAATCCAAGACACCACATTGCAGTTAGCCTTAAATGTTTTTGAGAATATTTTAAAATATATGTCTATTTCATCCAGTTTCTGAGGGAGGATGGCCCTATTTACTTCGTCTTACATTGCTGCCCTCCCCCATTGTTTCACTGGCATTCCTAGAAATTAAAAAAAAAAATCCTTTAAACAGTCAACATAAAAATCTCAAAAGCAGTTTTTAGACTTGTATAGTGGAGGAGGTTGAACAATTGAGTTTGCCACTGGCTGGGGATGGGGGAGCTGTAAGTGGAATAGAGGATGAAATGTATGTGAGAAAACAAAAAACTTTGTGTTGGCTCAGGCTATGCCCCAGAAACAAACAAACTGCAAAATCTCAGTGGCTAGGGACTTCCCAGTTGGTCCAGTGGTAAAGAATCCGCTTTACAATGCAGGGGACGCAGGTTTGATCCCTGGTCAGGGAACTAAGATCCCACATGCTGCGGGGCAACTAAGCCCACACGTCACAACTACCGAGCTCGCATGCCCTGGAGCCTGCGTGCCACAACTAGAGAAGAGAAAACCTGCACACCACAACTAGAGAGAAGCTCGCGCTCCGCAATGAAGGGCCCGTGTGCCACAACTAAGACCTGAAGCAGCCAAAATTATAAATAAATAAATAAATCTTTTTAAAAAATCTCAGTGGCTAAACACATAAAAGCCTCTCTTGCTCATAAAAGCAAGTCTGCCGCTGGCATGGAAGAGAGTCAGCTCTCTTCCAAGTGGTGACTCAAGGATCCAGGTTCTTTCCAGCTTTTGGCTCACCCTTCTTTGCTGGGTGTAACACTCTTGCTCTCTCCCCACACCTTTACTTATTTGATAGGTGAATTGGAAGGAGGACAAGGCATGTGTCGCCCAGCCCTTTTTACTTCCCTTCCTCCTGGGAGCTGGCTTGCCTGCAGAGACTGTGTGTTCTGCACTGCCTGTGAATGCATAGTGTGCCTAACTCTGAGGTTCGGGAGTAGAAAGCTCACTCTTCTACATCCAAAACCTGGTTACTGTACCTATGTAAACACAACTTACACTGTTTTTTTCCCCAAAGTTTCATGCATCATCTAAGGCAGTGGTTCTCAACCCAGAGTAATTTTGCCTCCCAGGGAAATATTTGACAACATCTAGAGAGACTTTTTTTTTTCTTTTTTTTGCGGTACGCGGGCCTCTCACTGTTGTGGCGTCTCCCGTTGCGGAGCACGGGCTCCGGACGCGCAGGCTCAGCGGCCATGGCTCACGGGACCAGCCGCTCCGCGGAATGTGGGATCTTCCCGGACCGGGGCACGAACCCGTGTCCCCTGCATCGGCAGGCGCACTCCCAACCACTGCACCACCAGGGAAGTCCCTGGAGGATCTATTTCTTACGGAGTCTTCAAACCTCACTCCTGGCTAGGTGTGGGGCTGGCGGGGGTGGAGGAAAAGGACCTCACAATACACATGAAGGCATCAGGGGTGTTGCACAGTACACCCCACACCCTCTTCATAAAAATAAAAATTGGAGTAACGCTTCCTTTACTCTCCCGAAATGGCAATCATCAATAATATGCCTTCTCACATACTCAGTTTTTTAAAATCACAATATAATGCCTGAGCTGTAATAGAGGGGGAAAAAAATCGAAGGAAAACGATTTGTAACCAAATAACACATACTCAAAGTGTCGATGCTGAGGCCTCATGACACTAGAAAACACAATAAAGTGTCAGATGCTTGCCCCTGCTTATAACAAATAAGTTAGGATTTAAGAAAGCAAGAAGATCAGAAATTATTCTGTATAAGAACCAAAAAAATAAAAGAGCAGAGATATACTATTAAACACTAGAATAAACATTATTTTAATCTGTGTTTTTAAAACTGTGATTACCGGGACTTTCCTGGTGGTGCAGTGGTTAAGAATCCGCCTGCCAATGCAGGGAACACAGGTTCGAGCCCTCGTCCGGGAAGATCCCACATGCCGTGGAGCAACTAAGCCCATGCGCCACAACTACTGAGCCTGCGCTCTAGAGCCAAAGAGCCACAACTACTGAGCCCATGTGCCACAACTACTCCGCGTGCCTGGAGTCTGTGCTCTGCAACAAGAGAAGCCACTGCAAGGAGAAGCCCGTGGGCCACAACGAAGAGTAGCCCCTGCTCGCCACAACTAGAGAAAGCCCGCGCGCAGCAACGAAGACCAAATGCAGCCTAAATTAATTTAAAAAAAAAAAATGTGATTACCTTTTGTAGTCTGAGATAACAGAGTTTTCACCCATGTGAACCCCTGTCCCTGCCAATTGAATGCCAGCAGCGCCCCCCAAGCCGCCAACATTGTGAAATTCAAACATATCTTCCACATCACTCACACACACACACACGCGCACACGCACACGCGTACACACACAATCTCCCCTCCCAGAACCACTGAGTTAATGCTTCAAATATTAGCCCAGCAAGTGGGTAAAAATTCCACCTGTACATATGGAAGTATATGCCAAAATATTAACAGTGGTTTTCTAAGCGAGGAGGAGAATAACAGGAAACGTTACCTTTTTTTTTTTTAACATATCTGCACCGTGTAAAATTTTGCTTGCAACCGGTGTGACCTTTGCAATCAGAAAAAACAAACAGAACTATTTTGGAAAAACGGTATGTCAGGGCTCCCTCTAGGGTGCGTGTTTGTTCTATTCCTTTCAGGAAGGATTCAGTTCCGCGGTGGGAAGCCGCTAATTAACTTTTTAAAAGGCAAGACACCTCAGCGCGGCTCCCCAGCCTTTGTGCTCGGCCTGCTGGTGGCTCCAGGTACCCGGCTCAGCCCAGCCGGACAGCTTCCCTCACCCTCCGCCTGCACCGCCGCCCTGTGGCCCAGGGAGGTACTGCGCCCTCCGGGAGGCGATGGGGAGGAGAAGCAGTGGCGGCTGCCTGTGGACCCCCTAACTTCTGTACCATAAACCACTTGGCAGTCTGGTGAAGCTTATGCGCCACGCCTCAGAATAATGGTCTTTTTAAACATATAAAATACTATACATATGCTTGAAAGAAAACCAATAATAAATGAAGTGGTTATCAAAATATAATTGTGTAATACTGTAATAAATGTGCTTTTTTCTTTTTTTCTTTGCGGTACGTGGGCCTCTCACTGTTGTGGCGTCTCCCGTTGCGGAGCACAGGCTCCGGACGCGCAGGCTCAGCGACCATGGCTCACGGGCCCAGCCGCTCTGCGGCATGCGGGATCTTCCCGGACCGGGGCACGAACCCGCGTCCCCTGCATTGGCAGGCGGACTCTCAACCACTGCGCCACCCGGGAAGCCCCTACTGTGATTTTTAATTGGTGACAGTCACGGCACTGCGAACACTACTCATCATACAAGGAAAAATAAGTATTACGTAAAGTTTAGTGAAAAGTCAAGATGTACTATTTCCCCGCCCAGGTTCACGGACTCCTTGAATTCTACACACAGGCCCTCTGGGGTGCGCGGCCGGGGGCATGGTTAAGACCCCCTGAAAGGGCATGGGTTTGGGAGAAGCGCTCGGTGGGTTTTCAGGTGCGGGTCGCTGTGAACCAAGGCTAAGTACTGAAGGGATCAGCAGAGGCGCCTCCTCCGGCTGGGGGAGCCACACGGCCCCTCCCCTCCCTTCCTTCTCTCGATTTTGCCTCTGGAGGAAGTTAAAGTCCCGTGTGGTCCGGAGAGGAACTCCCAGCTCCCGGCGTGCACTCCAGCTTGGCCAGCGCTCACCATGAGGCCCCTCGTCCTGCTGTGGGGCTGCCTCGTGCTCCCAGGTGAGATGGGGGGCGGGGATGGTGAGATGCGGGGCGGGGATGGAGGGATGTGGGGCTTATCCCCAACGTCCTTATTGCTTATTCTTATTGCCCGTTGGGTCTGCAAGAGAGGGACCTGCTGAACCTACATTTCCTTGTGGGGGTGACCCAGCCCAGCCGCCTGATCCTTCCAGGCTTCACCCCTCCCCATTCGTCCTCAGCCCTCAGAGGGTGCGGGCATTTGCTGTTTCTGGAACCCAGAGCCAGGTCTTCCCCCAGACCTGTGGGCTCCAGACCCTTCATGTCCAAGTGGCTGTGAGAGTACCTTTACCTCTTTTATCTTCATTTCCTGACTCTGTGCCAGCCTGGGGACAGACAAGACACCCCTTATTTAATGTTGCCACATTAAACTCAGCAAATATTTCTTGAACCTCTGCTGTACCACTCACAACAGCCCCAAGAGATAAATTATCCTGTTTCATCAATTCACAAGCCTGCTTTTCTTTTTTTTCTTTCTTTCGTTTTTTAACCTTTTAACATAAAAAATTAGGATGCATCTTATAACTGATGTCAGTTGTTCAAATGACAGTGTTTTTTTCTTAATGTTTTATAAAATTATGGTGGCTCTTACATATGATAGCATCTTAATTCAATGAAATAGGACATTGTCATCATCTATAGGTGAGAAAACTCAGAGGGGTCAAGCAACTTCCCCAGGGTCACACAGCTACTAAGTAGCAGTGCTGGGATTCAAACTCTGGGCTGTATGAATCTAGATCTTCCCCATCACCAGCCTTCAATATGCCAGGTATAGGGAAACAGTAACAGTCCTGTCCCAAGACCCCTCGGTGGCAGAGTGGAGTACCAGCTCCTACCAGGGCTGCCCCAAGAAGGGAGTGACTGAGGAAAGCCTTCTGGTCTTGATCCTGGTACTTGAATCAGGGAATTCCAACCTTCATCCCTGCTGTGGTTTCAGGTTATGAAGCCCTGGAGGGCCCGAAGGAGGTCAGCGGCTTTGAAGGTGACACCGTGTCCCTGCAGTGCACCTACGGGGAAGAGCTGAAGAAGTACAGGAAATACTGGTGCAGGGAGAGCGGGTTCTTGATCTCCCGCTGCTCTGGGACTGTCTACTCTGGAGAATATGGCCAGGAAGGCAGGGTGTCCGTCCACGACAACCCCCGGCAGCTCAGGTTTGAGGTCACCCTGAGGAACCTCACCCTGAAGGACGTGGGGCAGTACTGGTGTGGGGCCAAAAGAGTGGGCTTCGATAAGACTTTCTCGGTTTCTTTGCTCGTCTTTCCAGGTAACAGATGTCCCTCCTTCCCTGGGAGGGGTTCAGGGTCATGGAGGTGGGGGCTGGAGCACGGCACCTCCCCACAATAAGGGACAGGCTGCAGCTCAAACGGGGGGAGCTGAGAGCCACGCACAGGTTTGGGGTGTTCCTGAGATATGACCTGCTTGCTCAAAATGGCTTCCTCAAGGCCTCTGTTTGAGGCGTAGCTGGGGAAGTTCTGAGAAATTGGTCCTGGGGAGATTAGGGTTCAGGGGTCAAGGGTCAGAGGTCTGGGAATGCTGGGAATCAAGGATCAGGGAAGGTGCTGAGGCATTGCTTTTGGACTTGTAGCTTCTGCTGGTCTCCACCTGACAGTCACCACAGCCAAGCTGGGGAAGACGGGGGCAGAGGTCTCTCCATTCACAGGGACCTCCCCATCCGAGCGTGCAGCAACCTCTCCGTATGCAGGGACCTCTCCTCACCCGGCAACCTCTCCATTTGCAAGGACCTCTTCTCACCCAGCAACCTCTCCGTATGCAGGGACCTCTCCGTATGCAAGGACCTCTCCGTATGCAGCAACCCTTCCAAATGCAGGGACCTCTCCTCACCCAGCAACCTCTCCTCCTGCAGGGATCTCCCGCCAAGCCACACGGCTAGACTCTACCTCCACAGAGGACACCAGTTTTGTCCCCATCAGAAGCAGCTCCAAGACCAGGTGAGCAGCTCCAACCAAGGCCACCTTTTCAGGTCATCCCTGAACCATAAGGTGCCCCTGAGCGAATAGGAATACAATACTCCTTCCTCTGGGGGAACACAGCTTCTTGACGTGGCCACAGACACGCAGAGAGGGCAGATTCAGCCCCCATCCCACCCCCTACCCGGCAGGGCCCTGGAGCAGTGAACGACCTACATTACGGGGGCCAGCAGCCCTTTTGCCTTGGACATGCAGGCCCGCCCAAGGTGAAGGGTCCGCCATGGCCCCAGTCCCCACCTCGCTCCCCGCCCGGCTTCAGGGACAGCCACCCCAGTTCAGTAGTTCTTGTTTGTGCACTTTACACTGGGCCCTGTGCTAAGCAGGAAACTGTAGACCAAGCAATGTGATGTTTTCTTACCCAACTGGGATCCCAGCCGGAAGGACTGGCTCTTGGGTCTTTATATATAACTGCCCTCCATTGCTGGTGGCCAGCTAACTACTCACAGGTTCAGAGCCAGCTGAAAGTACCTCCTGGGGCTGGCGATGGGGGCTGAGGTCCCTTCCATTGGGACCAACCAGATGCTGTGGTCCCTGGTACCCTCTGACCCCCTTGGGAGAGACGAGGGATATGACTGGGACTTAGAATAAGAATGCCCAGTGTGCTGCCGACATCTGACGACAGCCACCAGTCTCCTTCCATCTTGTCCGCAGGGTGTCCGTCCCAATGACCCGCATGTTGGCCCCAGTCCTGGTGCTGCTGGCCCTTCTGCTGGCCACAGGCCTGGCCTCCCTCGGCAGCTACATGCTCCAATGGAGGAAGAAAGGTGAGCAGTGTAGACGGGAGGGGTGAGAGGCTGTCAGCCAGGGGCCTCGCTGAGACCCACAGTCCCCACCACCGCCCCAGGGAGACCTCGTGGGCCTCGGCATATGCGTCCGAGACGTGGGCATCGGGAGCCCTGCTCCTCTTTTCTGAGGGACCCGCAGGGCCGTCCACACCAGGCACAAGCAATTCAAACGGGGGGAGCAAGAGGCTGGGGGGCTCTCATCTTGCTCTGGTCTGTCCAACCAAGCTCATGAGCCACTTCTCTCCCTGTTGATCCCAGTGAATCCATGTCCAGTCTCTGTAGGTCCTGCTTCTTGTACGAGGACTGATTACAGGGGGAAGTGCAGGCCTGAGCACTTGAACTTGAGCAGGATGTGTGTATGGCCCCGCCCCTGCCACTGGGTCTCTAGAGGTGCTCAGCTCCTTTCAAGACTTGGCTTCAAATTCCAGCTCTGCCACTTTTTAGCTGTGTGACCTTGGGTAAGTCATCTAACTTCCCTGAGCCTCAGCTTCCTCAGATATATGCCCAACAGAAATAGAATAGAAGCCACACGTGTGATTTAAAATTCTCTGATAGTCACACGAGAAAAAGAAGAAACTAGTGAAGTTAATTCTAATGATACACTTTATTTAACATGATATATCCAAAACATTATCATTTCAACATGGAATCAATATAAAGATACTAATGAGGACTTCCCTGGTGGTGCAGTGGTTAAGAATCCGCCTGCCAATGCAGGGGACACGGGTTCGAGCCCTGGTCCAGGAAGATCCCACATGCCGCGGAGCAACTAAGCCCGTGTGCCACAACTACTGAGCCTGCGCTCTAGAGCCTGCAAGCCACAACTACTGAGCCCACGTGCCACAACTACTGAAGCCCACGTGCCTAGAGCCCGTGCTCCGCAACAAGAGAAGCCTCCGCAATGAGAAGCCCACGCACCACAACCAAGAGTAGCCCCCACTTGCCACAACTAGAGAAAGCCCGCGCGCAGCAACGATGATCCAATGCAGCCAAAAGTAAATAAATAAATGAATAAATTTATTTTTTTAAAAAAAGATACTAATGACACACATTCTACGTTCATTTTTTCCAATTGAGTCTTTCAACCCCAGTGTAATTCAGAGTAGTCACCTTTCTGGTGCTCAATGGCCGTGTGTAGCTCCTGTGGTGGATGGCACAGATTAAGAGGGTTTAACCGAAATAACGGTAATGGGAGCTGCCTTGTGCCCGGCACAGTGGTGTGGCTTATGTTCTTTTTATCTCCTTTAATCTCCTCAATACTGTCGAGTTAGGAACTACTTATTCAACACCTACAAATACCCCCAATTTACAGGGCAAGAAACTGAGGCACAGAGTGGTTAAGCAACTTGCCCTGGGTTTGTATAGCTGGAAAGTGGTAGAACCAGGAAGCCAACTTTGCAAATTGGCAGTGTTGTCCCAGCACTGGTGGCCATGGTGGGGAACGCTGGGCTTGCTACGTGACTCCCCTCTGTGTGGCCCCCAGGAAGAAATGTCAGCTTTGCCCACATCCCTAGGCCCCCTCAGAGGAGTCGGGAGGAACACACAGGGTGAGAACGTTCCCATCACAACCTCAGAGCCTCTTCGCACTTTGCCTCTCCAATTGTGGTCCCCAGCTGGCAGCAGCAACATCCCCGGGTAGCCTGTTAGCAACTCAGACTCTCAGGCCCCAACCTCAGCCTACTGAATTAGGATCTGCATTTGAGTTAAATTTCCCAAGGTCCTGTACACACACTGAGATTTAAGAAGCAATGACCTTGGCATACAGGATCACTTCCCTAGCCAGTTTCTGGCCCATGCGAGGGGATTTCCATGTACCAATCTCAAAAGTCCAGGTCATTGCCGAGGTGCTGGGATTCTCGGCCCAATCTGCTTGCCAGCTCCCTCTGGGAAGCCCCAGGTGCAAGGAACCCAGTCCACGTATGTGGGAGCAGCTGCAGACTACTCCCAGCTACTCCTGGCTTCAAGGTGCTCCTTCTGTTGCAGGAAGGGGGACCCCTTCCAGGGCCCGAGAGGGGGCTCTTGTCTAACACTCAGAAATGAATTGTCTGAGGAGACACGCTTGCTGACACAGCAAGAGACTTTATTGGGAAGGGGCGCCCGGGCAGAGGGCAGGAGGGTAAGGGAACCCAGGAGGACTGCTCTGCCACGTGGCTCGCAGTCTCGGGTTTTATGGGAATGGGGTTAGTTTCCGGGTTGTCTCTGGCCAATCATTCTGACTCAGGGTCCTTTCTGGTGGCCCACGCATCACTCACTCAAGATGGATTCCAGCGAGAAGGATTCTGGGAGGTTGGTAGGACATACGGACTGGAGTCTCCTCTCTCCTTTTGACCTTTCCCGAATTCTTCTAGTTGGTGGTAGCTTGTTAGTTCTGCATTCCTTACCAGGACCTCCTGTTTAAGATACCTCATGCAAGTGCTTACTAACAGGCCTGGCCAGGGTGGGCGGTTTCAGTCAATGGTTCCCTTAACACTTCTGGTCTCTTTCAGCTCAACTGGCCACGGAGACACAGAGGAAGGAGAAGGTCCATCTCTCCCACTTGGTAAGGAAGGAGGCAAAGCCCACGCTCAGATCCCTCTGCGTCCGACTCCCAGGCCCTGCCTCTCCGGCTCCCTGCCTGATCCTCCACGGCTGACCTCAAGGCAGGACTTGCTTCCCACATCCAGGGAATCTGTGTGAGCCCCGAGATCACCCCTTCGGGCTGCCCTCCTCACCCAGACTTCCCACCGGGTGCCAGTGGGGCTCTGCTCCAGGCCCAAGGCCCTCTTCCCATCCCCCCTTTTAGAATCAGAGAACATTGGAGCTGGTTCCACAGGGGGGCTTTGATATCAGCTCGTCCAGCCTTTCTCTAAATTTGGTGCAAAATCCCTTAGGAAACACCTTGGGGGGGTGGTGTGGGCGGCTATTAGAAATACACTCTCCTCGACATCGGTCCCAGCCAGGACCTCTTGGGGTGGGGGCCAGGAACCTGAAATTGAAACGCTGCCCTGGGGGATTCTGATAGCACCAATAGACTCTAGTCTGCTTTTGCAGAAGGGAGAACTGAGGCCCAGAAAGGGAAAGAGTCTTGCCCGAGGTCACACAGCAGGCTGTGGCCCAGATACAGAGCGGGACCCAGAGCTCTCGACTCCCATCTCTCCTCTTTCCGGAACACCCTTCTCTGAGCTGTCGTTGGCTCTGAGACCAAGGTGGTGTAGCGACCTTGACACTCGGGCCGCGGTGGTGCTCTGGAGACCGGGGGACAGAAAGAAGGGGGGTCCCTGTGCCCATCATCCTGGAGAGAGGACGCTGCCCTGAGTCTACCTGCTGCTGGGCCCCTCCCTGACCCCTGCAGAGAGAGACCCTCTTCCCACACCAGCACTCCTACGGAGAGAGTCACTGCTTAGGAAACCGAAGCTTCATCTGCCTCGCCAGCACCCCCGCCCCCAGCCTCTCCTTCCTCAGCTGTTTACTGAGAGGCCTCCACCCTGATTCCCTTAGACACTGGAGCAGGAAAGGGGGGCTGCCATTGCCTTCTTTCCTGGCGCCATCAGGGACAAAACACTCAGGCCCGATCCCCCTAGGGAGGGGCTGCCGTGGGATGGGGTACTGGGCCTTCCTTCACTTAGGAAGCAGCTGTTGTTACCTCAGGAAGCTCAGCAGGACCAAAGGGGTGGACAGGAGTGAGGGAAGGGTCATGGAAACAGATGGAGGGGCTGCCACGGCCACTGCCAGGGCCCTCCTCCTGGCTCGGTGTCCTGAGGCTAACCCCTCCCCCAACTCCAGAAGAGGGGCTGGGCTCGGAGGGAGAACCGCCATGCCTTGCTGCCGTTTTTCTAGTGCCTAGAAGTAGAGGCTCTCGTATAGATCTCGTATTGTCAATAACCCAGAAAATGCCTCCACGCTCACTGGAACAGCCCAGGGTCCACTGCGTGGGCAGAGGGACCGTTGAGAGATGCAGACGCCCCCCTGGACAGAGGGTGGTGGTCCTGACCACAGCCTACATGTGCGGTTTGCTCTCTGTCCCCTAAGGTTCTTTCCTCAAATTCTGTCACCCTTGAGAAGGGGACGCTTCTGCAGCTGTTGGTGGTCAGCGGTCAGCAGTGGCTGGGTTTCGACCAAATCAGAAAGCTGTCAGTATGGGATTCATGGGAAATGGACCTGGTGTCAGGAGTTCTCCGGCCCAACCCCAGCTCTGCCATGTCCTCCCCACAGGCAGGGCTGGGACGCACGAGGGCCGTGAGTGACAGCATTTGTGAATTCTCCCTCCCCCTCCCCTATTCCTTCAGGCCCCATCCCCCCAGTCACATCTCACCTGAGGGATTCTGTTCTGACTCTTACCTTGTCCCCGTAAAACTGAAGGTGTCACCAGAGGTGGCTCAAACATCTACCTCTGCCCCCATGTCCCACACCTAGGGTATTGACAGAAGCAGGGGCCCAGTTAGTAGACAAGGGACACTGCCACAAAGAGAAGTGTGCAGGACGCCCTACCAGGAAGGCAGCATGGTGTAGGAAAGAGTCTGAGACCAAAGAATCATGGAGACAAGGCCCAGCTCCACCACTCACCAGCTGTGTGACATCTGGCAAGTTACATCACCGCTCTGAGCCTCGGCTTCCCCATCTCACGAGACTGTGGTGAGGAACGAGTGAGATGAGACCCCTCGTAGTTATCCAGAAAATGGGAGCTTCTTTCCTTGGCTTCGGTGCCTATCAGGCCAGGGGTTTGCTGGCCGGGCCACCTCAGGGCAGCTGTGCTGTTAGGAGACATGGCTGGGGGCCTTGGCCAGCTCCAGCCTCCACCCTGCTCAGCTGCTGGGCAAGGGAGCAGGTGACGGAGGGGCCCGGCATTCTGACCTGAGGACCACGGGGGCAGCCGAGCCCAGGCCAGGAGACGGGCTTCCGCACTCGCTCTGGACTACCCACCTCTCTTCCCTGGGCCTCGGTTTTCTCATCTGATCAGGGAGGGATTGCTCAGACCCATGATCCCTAAAGAATTCTTCCTGTGCTGTTTGTTATTTGGCGAATCTTTGAGGTGTCCAACTTTGCTCTCTCTGGGCCTATTACAAAGAACCTGCAGCCTGCATGTTCTTCCTGCTTCAAGGATAGAAATAATAATCATGGAAACAAATTAATCATTCCAGGAGTTCCCAGTTGTTGAGTGATAAAAACATTATCAGAAATATTTATTATAACCCTAAGGGAAAACTTTCTATCCCCATTTTATAGCTTGGGAAGCTGGGCCTCAGAGAAGTTGGGTGGCTCACCTGAGGTCACACTGAGACATAGTGAATGGGCCGCAGGACTCTGACTGCAAAATCCACCCCCTGCCTTTCCCTCCTCCTGCTCTGGCTTGCGGACCATCCCTGCTGCCAAGAACAGGCCGTTCTGACTGAGTCTGTGTTTCAGCCACTGGGGAACAGCGGGGTCCCAGAGTATGCTGTGATCAACCTTGCAGGGCCCACTGGGCCTCCTGCCAGCCCCAACGTGGAGATCCGGTGCCTGAGCCAGGTGTGGACAGAGGGCTCTGGGGGTCAGGAGCCACCTAGCCTGGCTCCACTCAGACAATGCAAGGAAGTGGGGGAGGTCTCTGCCCTCAGTCCACCTACCTTCCGCATCACAGCCAGAGCTTAGACCATGTCACCCAGGAAGCCAGGGCTCCTGACCTCACATCCTCATTTCTTGTGATCCAGAAAATTCTTGAATAGCGTGGTGAGAGGGACAGCTTAAAGAGTTCTGAGCTGGCAGGATCCCCACGTCTGCAGCCGCAACTGGGCCCGAGGCCATGAGGTTGATCTCCCAGGGAGTGGGGCCTGGTGTGTGCGGGGGGAATGAATCAAAGCCTGGGAGTTCTGGGAAAAAGGAGTGGTTAGTCCTGTGACCCCCAGACGGACAGGCCCAGAATGTGCAGAAAAGGCTGGGCTGGACCCAGCAGCTACCTGGAGACCCCCCCAAGCCGGGCTCTGCTTTTCAACCCCTACTGTTGTCTTTACAGACTTCAAAGGAAGACGAAGCCTCGTGGCAGACCCCTGAGGGAGACATGACCCCAGGCCCTCCCCTCCCCGTGTCTGGGGACGAGCCAGACTTTTCTAAGTTCATCTCAGTCTAGCTGCCTAACGCCCTCCGTGAATCTCTGGAAGGGCTGAATTTGCGCTGACTCGGATAAGTTTTCTGCTACGGCTTCAGAGTCCTCCTGCCAGAGTCCAGGGCTCTCCTCCACCCTCCCCAAGCTTTCCTCTTGCATGCCCCAGCTGACCCGGAACGCTTCGTCAGCGCTGGAGCCTGGAGTGGTAGCTTCACGGTTCCAGCTGGAGACGGGGACCTCCCCAAGATGATCACATTCCTGGGCAAAGCGTGCAGCCACTGGACCCTCAAGGGGCCAGGCAGGGCTCAGGGGGTCTGGTCCGAGTTTGTATCTGCTACAGGAGCTCCTCTGGGCCTGGGTGCCGAGCCACGGGCCGCTCCTAACTCCCCCTCCAGACCCCGCCTTCTCTTTCCTTCCTTCCATCCTCAGACGCAAGGTCAAGTTCTCCTACATAAGCTGGTGAGGAGGAGGGAGACTGCTGGGTTAGACGGGATTCTGATTTCTCAAAGCCGGGCTGGGAACCTCCTGCATCCCAGTCCTTCAGGAAGCTGGTTAAAAAGATAATTCCTGGGCCCCATCAAGAACTACTAAAACGGAACTTCCCTGGTGGTGCAGTGGTTAAGAATCTGCCTGCCAACACAGGGGACACAGGTTAGATCCCTGGTCCGGGAAGATCCCGCATGCCGTGGAGCAACTAAGCCCGTACGCCACAACTACTGAAGCCCATGCACGTAGAGCCCGTGCTCCGCAACAAGAGAAGCCACCGCGATGAGAAGCCCATGCACCGCACCGAAGAGTAGGCCCCACTCACCGCAACTAGAGAAAGCCCGCGCGCAGCAACGAAGCCAAAAATAATTAAAAAAAAAAAAAGAACTACGAAAACCATCTCTGAGGCTGGGCCTGGGACTCTGCATTTCTAAAAAGTGCACTGGTGATTCTAACTCTTGAGTTTGAGCACCAGTGGGCTGGTTGAGCTCTCAGGCCCCTCCAGTTTAGAGAGTCTACATTTGGTATGTGGAGTCTCCCCGCTGCCCCCTATAGGGCCTGCTCTGCCCATGACACCATGACCCAGCTGGGGGCTTTCCTGGACCTGCCCGAGTCCAGTCCCAGGTCAAGTGCACATTGGAAGGGGTGAGCCCAGGACTGGCGGGGAGCGGTTGTCTTTCTGATCTCCCTACCTAGCCACGCATTCCAGGCTTTGGAAGGAGGATGGAAAAAAGCACGGCTCCTTCCTTGTCAAGAAAGGGTTGAGGGCTTCCCTGGTGGCACAGTGGTTGGGAGTCCGCCTGCCGATGCAGGGGACACGGGTTCGTGTCCCGGTCAGGGAAGATCCCACATGCCGCGGAGCGGCTGGGCCCATGAGCCATGGCTGCTGAGCCTGCGCGTCAGGAGCCTGTGCTCCGCAACGGGAGAGGCCACAGCAGTGAGAGGCCCGTGTACTGCAAAAAAAAGAAAAAAAAAGAAAAAGAAAGGGTTGACTACCTGTGGGTTCTGAGAGCTGGGGAGGGGGTAGGAAAACACAGGGTGCAGGTGGAGGTAGGTATCTAAAAGGGAGGAGGGAGGGGACAGGGCAGGACCCTAAGGGGAACCTGACGGTGACCTGGAGTTTGGTCCCCTGGAGTGGGCAGAGGGAAGGTAGAATAAAAGAACGACTGGGTTTTTGAAAAATGAACCGGGGTCTGTTCAATATACAAAACCTAGAAAGATGGGGGGATAAAAGGAAGAAAACACATCACCCATCATCTCACCGCTACCCGAAGACGAAATCACTGCAATTTGTTGTATTTCTTTCCAGTCTTTTTCCTGCACATCACTTGCTGATGTGCTTCTACAAATTATTTTGTACCTATAACTTTATATCCTGCTTTTCCCACTTAATTATTATATCATAAGCATGTTTTTGCATAATGTTTTTACAAACCTTTTATAAATTAAATGTTGACCAGCAGCATAATATTTCAGATTGGTATGCTTCAGTTTATTTCAGTTCTCTCTCACTAGATATTTAATTTGTTTCTATTTCTGTTATAAATAACAGCATGGTGAATCTAGGCACACAGCTTTGCCCGCATCTGGAGATTTCTTTCAGAAGGATGTGCATATGTGGAAGTGTCAGAGGGTGCGAACGGTTCTGAAGTTACTGATACCCATTGCTAAACAGCTTTGAGAAATGGCAGTACAAGTTTCACCCCCACCAGGGCCTAGCAGTCAGCATTTCTCAAAGTCCTCACCAGCCTCTGCACCCATCCCAGTGGGTGTGGGAGGAGAAACCACCCGTAAGGCCTATGGAATGAGGGCCTAGGGGGCTGGGCAAGGTGGAGCTGGTCTGAAGATGCAAGGGAAACTCACCAGAAGGTGGCAGCCAGTTCCCCGGGAACTGGCTTTTTACCTTCTCTGAGTGGAAAGGGAGACCCGAGTCTGAGCTCTAGGGACTCTGCCCAGGATCTGGGCACAGTGTGTGCCCAGATGTTGGGGGAAGTAGGAATTAGCAAGTTTCAGGTGGTCTCAGCTCCAAAGCAGGCTTCGCCCATGAGAAATCCCTCAGCTGGAGGCTGGTGAGAACAGGGGCTTCTCAGAAGGGAAAGAAACTTCCTGTCCTCTCAGCCTGTCACCTACAGCAGCCAGAGCTTTTGGGGGACCAGGAATGCTCAGCGGGGTCATCCCAGTCCCACCCCTTGCCTGATTTCAGACCATGAGCCTGCTAAAGAGATCTATGTCTTTTGTGAAGCAGAGCTCTCTCCAAGGCAGCCTAGGATTGGCATCCACTGGATTCCAAGTTTCCGTGGATTTATTAGATACTCAAGCATCCTTCATAGACCCTGGCACACTGTCCTAGCTCCCAGTGCTGCCACAGTGCTGGCCCAGTGCCACCCTCCTGGGCAGGGGAAGAAGTCTACTCCCTCGCCAGCTGCCACTCTGCAGTCCCCCATCTTGATACACCTTGGTTTTGTATTTGTACACCCACACCTTCAGCTCTGTGATCTCGTGTACCTATGAGAGGCCCTTGAACAAAAGAATTGCAATAAGCCGCCGCTCGCCCATCCCAAGAGCAAGGGTTTCCAGCCTGGGAACTTGCTGAGAAGTAAAAACTAGGGGAACATCAGCATTGCTAAAGTTCTGTTTTGCCAAATTGGGATATTAGCTATAATAAACTACCCTCTATCCTCCCATTAGTTTCTTTTAAAGAAATATTTTAACACCAAAGAGAGTGTCGATGGGAAAATGAATGTTTTAAGATAGTCCTTCCCTAATCGACCCCTAGACAAAGAATTGGATGTTATGATCCTAATCCACTGAGGCCTATTGAAGAGAGATTTTCTACAATCTTTTGGTTACAAAAGGGGAAGAGTGGGGAAGGGATAAATTGGGAGTTTGGGATTAACAGATATGCACTACTACATAGAAAAGAGTTAAACAAGGACCTACCATAGAGCACAAGGAACTATATTCAGTATCTTGAAATAACCTAGAATGGAAAAGAAACTGAAAAAGAATATATATGTGTGTGTGTGTGTGTGTGTTTCACAGAGACCCTTTACCAGGTTGAGAAATTTCCCTTCTAGTCCTAGTTTACTGAGCTTTTTAAAATCAGAAATTGATGTTGATTTTATCAATGATTTTTCAACAACTATTGAGATGATTATATGTTTTTTCTTTTTTAGTCTGCAAATATGACTCTATTCTTTGATTTTCTAACATTAAGCCAACCAGGGATTAATTTGACTTGGTCAGTACTGGTATGTAGTTTTCTTTTCTTGTTAAGTTCTCTGCCTGGTTTTGGTACCAGGGTAAGCTGAGAAGTGATCCCTCCTCTTCAATTTTCTGGAAGAGTTTGTGTAGAATTGGTAATATTTCTTTTTCATATGTTTGGTAGACTTCGTCAGTGAAGGCATCTGGGCCTAGAATTTTCTTTGTAGGAAGGTACAAACTAAACATTATTGTTAATTGCTATTTTACACAGACAATGTTTACTTAGATCCTTACATTTCAGATTTTCTTTTTAAAAAGTCATGTTAGTGGTAAAGTCTGTCAGTTTTTATCTGAAAAGCTCTACTTCATAAAAATTCTTGAAAGAAAAAAAAAATTCTTGAAAGAGTTTTGCTGGGTATACAATTCTAGGTTTACAGCCATTCTCTCTCAGCATTTTGGAAATACTATTATTTTGTCTTTTAGCTATAAGTGTTGTTGTTGAGAAGTCTGCTGACAGACTGAGTGATGTGATAGTTTTTCTCAGACTGCTTTCTACTTGTACTGGTGTTCTGCAGTTTTACTCCTGACCATGAGTAAATTTTTCTTGTTTGGTGTAAATCCTTACATCTGTGGATTCATGCCTTTCATCATTTCTGGAAAATTCTCTTCAAATATTTATCTATACTCCATTCTTTTTAATGTCTCCATTGACCAGGATAACATTTTTTTAGACCTTATCTTTATAACTGCCATATCTCTTACCCTCTCTTTCATATTTCCCTTCTCCTTATCTCTGTTCTTCATTCTATATAATTTCTTCAGCTCTATCTTCTAGTTTAGTACTTCTTAAACTTGAAAATGCCTATTAATTACCAAGGAATCTTGTTAAACTGCAAATCTGATGCAGTAGTTCTGGATGGGGCCTGAGTGCTGCGTTTCTAACAAGCTCCCAGGCTGATGATGCTGCGAATCCAAGGACCATACTTAGGGGAGCAACTTTCTGGTTCATTCATCTCTTTTCAGTTGTGTTTGATTTGCTGTTAACCCCCTCCAATTCGTTTTTGTTTTAAGCATTGTATTTTTATTTCTACAAGTTCTGGATGGTTCTCCTTCAAAACTAACTGTTCATTCTAATGTCTTCTTGCTTGTTAATTTTTGTAATGCCATCTTTTATTTCATTAAACATTTACACGCACATGGTTAGTTTACATGTTGTGCCTAATATCAGAAGTCCTTGGACATATAAATATGTTGTTGTTTATGTTGACTATTGCTCATGGTGGTCTGTTTCTCTGAATTTTGTGATCTCTTGTTGTGAGCTCATGTTTGGATGAATCTATGGAAAATCTGGGGGCTGAAATTGAGGATACCTTCCTCCAGAAACGAGTTGCATTTGCTTCTGTCAGGACAGGTCCAGGATAAAGATACCAACTTGGAACCAGGTCCCTAACTTACCAGAATCTCAGGTTATCTTACCGTGACCCTGGCTTTACGTTTAACTTACCAACTAAGATGCTAATATTGGCATTTTCCTTTAGGACAACTCCACCTTTCCTGTCCACTCACCATGCCTAAGGGGGCTGTTTTCTTTTGTTTTGTGACCTCTTTGAGATTTCCCTTCCCACAAGCCCAGCAATGCAATAAAAAAAAAATGTTTCACATAGGATCTCATTGTTTAAGAGCACAAGGTACCTTGTTCGCTCTGTCTGCACTAAAACCCTGACTCCCATTTTCCAGGCACCATGTAAGGCCCTTAGATTTTTATGTAACTCTAGGGAAGGGAAGAAGCCTTCCAAAACAGGATTGAGATATCATTTCTTCCCACTCTGGTGAGCAGGCACTCAGGGAAAGATTTTATTCAAGTTAGAAAAATAATGGGGTGTTTCTTATACCGGCATGTGATGAAATAAAATTCACAGTCACCACATCAGAATAAAGGGTAATCCTTAAAATTAGATATATTCAGCTTAATTATAAACTATCCTCCTGTACT